GCAAAGGCGGCCCTCCTGTCTTAGGCTCCGGTGAAGATAGTGTCCTCTTACCCGTCATTGACTGTCCAGTTCAGCACACAGGGGAGGTGGTCTTATTGAGGTAAATAAGACTCACCATTTTCAGTCATCTCAAGGCGATGATAATGGACCTGTATAGGTTTGGCCTGGAAGGCCTCGATTTGTTGTCTGACGAATGCCATAAGCTTATTAAGGATTATAGGCCCGAGAGTGAGGAAGAGTAGAAAAGTAAAGGACCAAGAAATGGCAGGAGATAGGGGAGAAGTCCATCGAGTCCCGTCCACAATGGATTGGCGGCCAGGCCCTTTCTGCGCTTTTCTAGTTCTTCTTGTAAAGTCTTTATCTTATCTCTGACAATTCCGGATTTGTTGGTGTAAAAACAGCACTTTTCCTGTAAAGCCAAACAGATCCCTCCCTGTTCTGCTGTTAATAAATCTAGACCTCTTCTATTTTGGAGAACTACTTCAGCTAATGAGTCTACTTGGTCTTGTAAATCTTGTATAGTACTGGATAAGGTCTGTACATCTGAAATTAATTGGTTGGATAATTTAGTATATTGGGTTAGTGAGACCCCTAGGCCTGTGGCTCCTGTGTCTATTAGTCCAGTGAATGCCTTCCCGTCTAACCATAAGGTTAGAGACGGTTTTTGATTTGTAATTGGTTGCACCCAATATATGTCTGATGATCCGAAACCTTTTATATTTCTATTAGAGTGTTGAATATTATTATTTGTTTTGACCAAAGGTAGCAGGATTAACTGAGCTATTCTAACTCCTTGAGGGACAGTAATAATACTATCAATAGCTCTGGCCATAATTTTAATTTCTCCTTCATAATCATTATCGATAACTCCAGGGAGGACTTGTAAGCCTCTCATGGTGACACTACTTCTTCCCAAAAGCAGCCCAAAAGTGTTAGGTGGTAAAGGTCCATATATTCCAGTATTTAAGGTCTGTGGTCCCATTTCAGGTGTTAGTACTGTGTGGGAGGTGGAACTGAGGTCCAGCCCTGCACTTCCTGGGGTTGCTCTACTAAGTTTTGAAATGGATTGCTGTTGCTGGCTGGAACAAAGCTGACTGCCCCATATGCTTGTTTCGGGGCCTGAGGCTGGCCCCTCATCCCATTTCCCTGCCTAGGGGATAAAGGATTTCCTTGACTGTCAGTATTAGATTTACATTCGTTTGCCCAGTGCCTTCCTCTTTTACACCTTGGGCAAAGGCCTGGAATTTTTGCTTCTGGATTTTTATTTTGGTTTTCATGGCAATCTTTTGCAAAGTGTCCCCTTTTACCGCATCTAAAACATCCCCCTTTATCTCTACCTTTGTTAACAAGGAAGTCTCTTACTGTTTGGCCGCTAAGAAAGCGGCGACAAACTGCTAGGCCTTGTTGATATGAGGGCCAATATCTGAACAGGCGAATGTATCCTGTATTAAATCTGTTTCTTTGATGAGTCTGATTGCGGCGAGGCCTAAATCTGTTTTCTTTCGATAAGGTCTGATTGCCGCTTGGCAGGCGGGGTTAGCGTTTTCATAAGCTAACTGTTTAACATAATCCACACCCGTTTCTGCATTTCCAAAGATTCTACCTGCCGTGGTCATAAGCCTATGCACAAAGTCTGAAAATGGCTCATCGGGTCCTTGTTTAACCGCTGTGAGCGAGGCCCCTGGATCTCCTTTAACGGGAAGTTTTCTCCAGGCTTTTGTAGCGGCAGCCTGGATTTGCGAGAACAATCCAGGATCATATTGCATTTGGGCCTGAGTGTCTGCATAATTACCTAAACCAGTTAACATATCAAAATCCCAATCGTTTCCTGCCTGTTGATTTCTTTTAGCCGTGTCTCTACAATTTTCAAAGAACTCTGACTTCCAAATTAAATGGTCTCCCCCAGAAAGGACTGCCCTAACTAAGGTATTCCAGTCTGTAGGAGTGAGCCAATTCTCAGCTACAGATTCCACTATAGCAAGAGTATATGGAGCAGTAGCCCCATACTGAGAGGCAGCAGTCTTTAACTCTTTTATAATAGTAAAGTCAAATCCAGTATGATGCCTCCAAGCCTGTCCCCGTTCATCTATGGTTTCAGTGACCGGAAAAACGTCTTTGGGGGAGGAGTCTTCTCTATGTCGGCTAGCAACTAACCCCCCTTTTGGAACATGTTGTCCAGGCCGCTGAGGTGGGCGCAAGGAACCCTCCATAGCGTCTGAGTTGGGTATCTTTTCATTTCCTGTCTTTAGCTTTTGGAGCCTAATTATCAATGATTGATGTAACTCTTCAAGTTTAATTTGTTCTTCTAGTTGAGCAATTTTTTGTTTTAATTCTTCTTTGGGATCTATTGCTGCCATAACAATGGGCGCAGAAGCCTCATTATGTGTCTTCTTATATGGGGGCGGGTATGAAGTAAAGGGAGGCAAATCAGGGTTGTGATATTTAGCCGCCTCTTCCTCTAAATCATCCCAATTTATGTCTGATTGATTAGGCTTATTAATTTCCTCCTCTTTTTGAAGCATCTGTAAAATTGGGTATTTTTTTGGTTTGTTTTCGTGTGGCATTTCTTTATCTGTTACAGAAGGAGACTTGATTTCCTCATGATCACTTTCGAGGGAAATGAGATCCTCCTCCGTATCTTGCGGAGGCTTTGTAAGGTTAGAGCGGGAGCTAACCTTTAAAATATGCTCTGTCTGAGCGACCGCAGCCATGACTTGCGGATCGGCCTCCTTCTTATCTATTAAATCTCTAATGAGGTTCCAATAAGAGAAGGCGGTCACAGGAATTTTTTCTGGCCCAAAAGTATTATAATAGTCCTGAAGACAATCCCCTACTCTACGCCATCTTTTAATATCAATAGTTCCTTCCTGTGGGAACCAAGGGCAAGTGTCTTTTACAAAATCAAAAAATTTAAACAAATCATTACCTTTAACCTTTACTCCTCGTATCTTTAAAGCCTCTTTTAATTGTCCTACATAGATCTGATGTTGGCTTAATTCTTGTCCCATTTCGGACGCGTCACTTACCTTCGATTCTGACGCGGCAGGTTCCTGCGGTGATCGGAAGAGTTCACTTTCTTTTGTCTTCGTTAGCGGTCGACCGTCCTTTGGCGTCCTCTTCCTCACGGAGTCCCTCGTTTCCAGGTCCCTGTTCGGGCGCCACGTATCCCGGCCCGCGGGATCGTCGAAGCAGGCCCTGGAGGAGGGAGTGGGAATTTGGGGAACAAGAGACACGAGAAATGGAGACAAGACAGTGCTCTGATCAAGTCTCGTTTAATGGCAGTAATGCAGTGCCTTATATACACTTGGAGAGGAAGGGGTTGGGCCAAGGCGGAAATGATCTCATTTCAGAGGGGGCGGCCAGGCAGGTTTCGGTTTCAACGGTCGGTCGTCATGTTGCGCCTGCGCTAGGAAGTAACAATTTTGCTACGAAGTAACAATTTTCGCGCGCGCGGGAAAGATGGGTGAAGAAGAAGCAGGAAGAGCGCCATCTTGTGCGAGGTATTTAATACAGGGAAAAGACAAATCTGGGAAGGAGGTGAGAGGTGGAAATGAATAGAGCTCAGGCATCTAATCGTCAATAATTACTCGCTATGGCCGGGGCGCGCAGCTCCGGACAGACATGAGCCACTGCACCTGGCCCAAGTAGCCAATTCTTTTTTTTTTTTTTCAGACAAAGTCTCGCTCTTGTCCCCCAGGCTGGAGTGCAATGACGCAACCTCCGCCTCCTGGGTTCAAGCGATTCTCCTGCCTCAGCCTCCCAAGTAGCTGGGATTACAGGCTCCTGCCACCACACCCGGATAATTTTTGTATTTTTAGAAGAGACGGGGTTTCACCATATTGGACAGGCCGGTCTCAAACTCCTGACCTCAGGTGATCTGCCCGCCTCGGCCTCCCAAAGTGCTGGGATTACAGGCATGAACCACCGCGTCCGGCCTACCAAGTACCCAATTCTTAACAATTACTAGTAATTAGGAAAATCAAATACCATTTCCAACTGAAAGCTGAAATTATTATTTTTGAAGATTATGATTAGGAAAATAGATCTCGATGAAGTATATGTATGATTGAACACTATTAGACAGTTGATAAAAAAATATGTTTCTGACCTCCTAGCTTTTGGGACTGAATTTATTACTATAAATATGAAGGACTGACCAGTAAGTGACCAGCAAGTGAACAAAGGGAGAGAGGAGGAGGGAAGACCTACGCCTATGGATCATACACTCTGTTTGGCATTGTGCGGGGCACTTTGGATATTCTCTCATGTCATCCCACCAAAATTCAGTGGGATGAGTATCATCCCACTGCCTCGGCCTCCCAAAGTGGTTACAGGTGTGAGCCACCATGCCCGGCTGGATTCTGATTTTTTATTATCATAATTCAGCTATGACAACCATCCTTATTAAAAAATATTGTGGCTGGGCATGGTGTCTCATGCCTGTAATTCCAGCACTTTGGGAGGGTTAGGCAGGAGGATCTTGAGGTCAGGAGTTTAAGACCAGCCTGGCCAACATGGTGAGACCCCATTCTACTAAAAATACAAAAATTAGGCAGGCATGGTGGCATGCACCTGTAATCCCAGCTACTCAGGAGGCTGAGGTAGGAGAATAACTTGAACCCAGGAGGTAGAGGTTGCAGTGAGCCAAGATCCTGCCACTGCACTCCAGCCTGGGACAGAGCAAGACTCCATCTCAAAAAAAAATTATATATATATATATATATATATATATAATGTGTGTGTGTGTGTGTGTGTGTGTATGTGTGTGTATAGTGTAGCTCATCAATAAATTCCTTAGGAAAACTCTTGCAAGTTGGATGTCTGGGTCAAAGGGCATGGATACCTGAATGGTTTATGATAGGTATTGCCAAACCAGTTGACACTCCTCTCAACGATTTTTTTAAAACGCTTCCATTTTTCCCTGTCCTCACCAATATAGGGTTTTATCACTTAAAAAATTACCAATTTGAGAAAAAATAAGTGTTAGAAAATATTATTGTGTTCGCTTTGGCAGCACACACTAAAACTAGAACTATACAGGGAAGATTAGAACGGCCCCTGCGCAAGGATGACATGGAAATTCATGGAGTGTTACATATTTTTTTAAAATGTCTTAGCCGGGCATGGTGGCTCACGCCTGTAATCCCAGCACTTTGGGAGGCCGAGGCGGGTGGATCACGAGGTCAGGGAGGTCAGGAGATGGAGACCATCCTGGCTAACGTGGTGAAACCCCATCTCTACTAAAAATACAAAAAATTAGCTGAGCATGAGGGCGCCTGTAGTCCCAGCTACTCAGGAGGCTGAGGCAGGAGAATGGCGTGAACCCAGAATGCGGAGCTTGCAGTGAGCCGGGATCAGGCCACAGTACTCCAGCCTGGGTGACAGAGTGAGACTCCATCTCGAAAAAAAAAAAAAAAAGTCTTTAAAATTTTAGGCCAGGCACAGTGGCTCACGCCTGTAATACCACTTTGGGAGGCCGAAGCGGGCGGATCACGAGGTCAGGAGTTCGACACCAACCTTGCCAATAGGGTGAAACCTCGTCTCTACTAAAAATACAGAAATTAGCCGGGTGCAGTGGCGGGTGCCTATAATTCCAGCTACTCGGGACGCTGAGGCAGGAGAATTGCTTGAACCCGGGAGGTGGAGGGTACAGTAAGCCAAGATCACGCTACTGCACTCCAGCCTAGGGACAGAGCAAGACTCCATCTCAAAAAACAAACAAAAACAAAGTCTTTAAAACTTTACATGTATCTATTAGGCTGGGCACAGTGGCTCATGGCTATAATCCCAGCACATTGGGAGGCTGAGGTGGGCAGATCACTTGAGCCCAGGAGTTTGAGACCAGCCTGGGCAACATGGTGAAACCCCATCACTACCCAAAAAATACAAAAATTAGCTTGGGGTGGTGGTACGCGCCTGTGGTCCCAGGTACTCAGGAGGCTGAGTTGAGAGGATCACGTGAGTCCGGGAAGTCGAGGCTGCAGTGAGCTGGGGTCATACCACTATACTCCAGCCTGGGTGACAGAACAAGACCCTGTTTTTTTAAAAAAAGGAAGAAGAAAATAGCTATTAATTCTGTTTTAATAAGTGCAATACATGGAACATAATTGAATCTTGCAGCTAAGTTGTGATTGTGAACATTAGTTTTCTGTGTACTGCTCTGTAGTCTGATGAGTTGTAGTGTGAAGGTTGTACATAAAAAAAAGCGTCAGGCCTCCAAAGGAACTCTTGTGTTTATGAGTTAGCAGTGAGGAGACTTGGATTCTGGTCCTAGCTAGCCGTGTTTCCTTAAGCAAGTGTTATATTCTCAGCAATTTACTTTAAATACCTCGGAGGGGCCAGTGGGAAGCCTATCTGTGTGTGCAACTTAACTTGAATATGTGCCATGGAGCGTCCCTCCAGTGGCCACTGTGACAAGCACTGCAAATGTTGCCTTCTAAATCAGTACCAGAGGTTCATTAGTTAGTATAAGGAATGTCAAAATAATTTTTCCTTGATGAAATGAATGGTATGCAAGATATGAGGCCAACAGATTGTACAGGCATCTCTCTGCCTTTTTATGAACAAGTTAAGAAGCAAGCCCAGCAATGTAACATTTCTGGAGCGGTGCCCTAGGCTCGATCTCCGTTTGTTCTGGAATCCCCCACTCAACCAAGAATTTTGTTGCTTGATCTGGCTGGAAGGATCACTGACTGTCATTATAACATAGGGGCCTTGCCTATTAATATTAAATAATGTTTAATGGAAAGGAATATTGCAGTGCAGAGAGATTGTCCAGGCCTGTGTTGCTGTAAAATGCATGCCATTTCTACTGCAGTGCTTGATACCCCTCTGTTGTGAACTGAATTGTGTTCCTGTCAAATTCTAATGTTGAAGCTGTAGCTCCCCATGTGACTATATTTCCCATCTTTCTCCTCCTAGCCTTCATTCAAATGTGGACATAATTTGGTCTGTTTCTCAAATTGGTGGAAGTTTTGTCATCTTAATTACCTACCCAGCTCCATTACAGGTTTAAAAACATAAGATATGTTTCAAGAGGCTTCTCATCAGGCCTATTAGTTGACACTGCCATGAAATCAACACAGCCTTTAAGTGTGGTCCATAACCATGGAAATGAAGTTTGCTTCAGATTAACCAAAATTCTCAGAGAAGACAAATGCGCTATCAGCAGATCCATTACCAAGAAGTGTCCTGTGTAATGACACTTTTTCATGCATCAAACTAAGCGTACTGATGTTTTCCTCATCTCTGTCCATGTAGCTTTGCTTTCTGTGGGAAAATTATCCACTCATCTTGTCTGCCCTGTAGACGGGGAAGGAAGGAGGAGAACTGAGCAATTTCTTTGGAATTAGCTCCCCAAATTATGGAATGTTTATTCTCAGACATCTTCCAGAAACAGATAACCATTTGGCTCTGGGTGATTTTAATATCAGTTGACCTGATGGAATTTTTGTTTGTTTGTTTGTTTGTTTGTTTTTGAGACAGGGTCTTACTCTGTCACACTGGCTGGAATACAGTGGTGCGATCTCAGCTCACTGCAGCCTCAACCTCCCCGGCTCAGGGGATCCTCAGCCTCACAAGTAGTGGGGACTACAGAGCACACCACAATGCCCAGCTCATTTTAAAATTTTTTTGTAGAGACGGGGTCTCATTATGTTGCCCAGGCTGATCTAGAACTCCCGGGCTCAAGCAATTCTCCCACCTCAACCTCCCAAAGTATTGGGATTACAGATGTCAGCCACTATACCCAGCCTTTGACCTAATCTTTTTTATTTTATTTTATTATTTTATTTTATTTTATTTTATTTTATTTTTATTTTATTTTATTTTTGGCGGGAAGGATGGGCAGGGGATGGAGTTTGGCTCTTGTTACCCAGGCTGGAGTGCAGTGGCGCAATCTTGGCTCACTGCAACCTCTGCCTCCAGGGTTCAAGTAATTCTCCTGCCTCAGCCTCCCAAGTAGCACAAGTGATCCACCCACCTCAGCCTCCCAAAGTTCTGGGATTACAGGTGTGAGCCACTGTGCCCAGCCAACCTGATGGATTTTTTTTTTCTTTTTTTTGAAGACAGAGTCTCACTCTGTCGTGCAAGCTGGAGTGCAGTGGCACAATCTTGGCTCACTGCAAACTCTACCTCCCGGATTCACGCCATTCTCCTGCCACAGCCTCCCAAGTAGCTGGGACTACAGGCGCCCGCCACCATGCCCAGCTAATTTTTTTTTATTTTTAGTAGAGACGGGGTTTCACCATGTTAGCCAGGATGGTCTCGATCTCCTGACCTCGTGATCCTCCTCCCTCGGCCTCCCAAAGTGCTGGGATTACAGGCGTGAGCCACCGCGCCCAGCCCGACCTGATCAATTTTAAAGATTCCTTCCAGCACTATGGTTTTGTGATTTTAATCTCTAAGGAAAATGTTTTTTGATGCCCAGAGCTTACTTCTAATTTGATATGATGCCAGACTGCAAAGTTATAGTGAATGTTGGACACATAGCCTTATTTGAATTTTCAAAACCCCAAACTTAATGTAACTGTTAGTATTGAAATCAATTTTAATTCATATCACCTTGTATTTAATTATAGGTAATCTTTAGATGGTGGAAGATCTCTCTAAGGAGTGAGTATCGATCAACAAAACCTGGAGAAGCAAAAGAAATCCATGAAGACTTCCTAGATAATTTACATCTTCAGAGTAAGAAAGGGAACATATTATGTACCGCTGTTAAGTTCTCATTAATTAGTGGTAGATTTTGTCAAAGAAGTTTCAAATATATTATCACTTGAAATATTGATATGCAATTATGTACTTAGATATACAATGTTAGATTCTTAAAAACCAGAAAACTGTTATTTTTTTCTCTTGGAAAAAAATCTTAGCGTTTAAGAGTCTAGGTTTGGCCGGGCACGGTGGCTCACACCTGTAATTCCAACGCTTTGGGAGGCCGAGGCAGGTAGATCATGAGGTCAGGAGTTCAAGACCATCTTGGCCAAGAGGGTGAAACCTTGTCTTTACTAAAAATGCAAAAATTAGCCAGGCATGGTGGCACATACCTCTTATCCTAGCTACTCGGGAGGCTGAGGCAGGAGAATTGCTTGAACCCAGGAGGCAGAGGTTGCAGTGAGCTGAGATCACACCATTGCACTCTAGCCTCGGCAACAAGAGCAAAACTCTGTCTTAAAAAAAAAAAAAAAATTCCTTGGTTAACATGTGGACTCCATTAATGAAGTTAAAATCAAGTAAATATAGTTTTATGCTTTAATATTATGAATTGGGCAGTGGCAACCAACCAAGTGGTTTGGGCGTCACTGGGAAGCGCTTAAGGGGAAAACTTTTATATGGTGTTTTCTGCAGGAAAACAAAGTATTTGATTGGTTAGAGTGGAAATTCCCTGGTTAGAGGTTAGTTGGCAGTTTCTGACTGGTAAAGTCTCTAGTTAGAGGTTAGTTGGCGGTTTCTGATTGGGTCAGCAGAAATTTCCTTTTCCTATGCTACAACCATCCATATTTTAAAAACATTTTTTTAATTAAAAAAATTTTTTTTGTAGAGCCAGGGTCTCACTATGTTACTCAGGCTGTTCTTGAACTCCTGGCCTCTAGTGATCCTCCCACCTCAGCCTCCCAAAGTGCTGGATTACAGGCGTGAGCCACTGCACCTGGCCCAACCATCTGTTCTGAGTTGGGTTTCAGTTTGCTTACACAAGAACTCAGGACACTGGCAACATCTAAGCCCGATTGCTTCCCAATTAATTATTTTAACACTTCTCAATATGAAAAATTCAAACATAAAAAGCAGACAATTTTTTTTGAGGGGGGGACGGAGTTTTGCTCTTGTTGCCCAGGCTGGAGTGCGGTGTCATGATTTCGGTTCACTGCAACTTCTGCCTCCCAGGTTCAAGTGATTCTTCTGCCTCAGCCTCCCGAGTAGCTGGGATTATAGGCATTTGCCACCACACCTGGCTAATTTTGTATTTTTAGTATAGATGGGGTTTCGTCATGTGGGCCAGGCTGGTCTCGAACTCCTGACCTCAGGTGATCCATCTGCCCCGGCCTCCCAAAGTGCTGGGATTACAGGTGTGAGCTACTATGCCTGGCCAGAATGGTTTTTAA